ACCCTGTGACAGAGATTAAGACTTAACGTATTCGTGAAATATGTTTAGCCGAAGAATCTTTGGTTGCAACGATCAACACCTGAAGATTTGGCTAACCTATGCTACTTGGACACATTATATGAGAACATTATATCTTAAATATGATGAAAAATTTGTTTAATCTGTTTAAACAATAACTTTTAATGGAACATTAATTTGTTTATTGTTGTTTATTGTATTTAAATTCATGTTTACGTTTTGAAACTAAAATGCCATCGAGCCATGTCCTGTGTACATGATCCGACTAAGCGACTAGAAGCAATGGGACGGCGCATTTACTCTGAATAAATCCGGCATCAGAGATTGAAATCATATAATTGCCTTGGAATTGGAATCCTACAGTGTGATGGCTACCTGAGAACATTTCAACTATGTTTTACTTAAATCAAGATCATTTTCTCAGGAGTCTTTGAAGCGGCATGACAGTCATTAAACTGCTCTGTGATCAACAATAAAAGTAGACAGAACAGTGCAGCCTAATGAAAAAGACTGACAGAAAAAACATTTGGTTAAGTTAGAAGTTTCTTCTCCCACGCCTTATTCGGAACATTTGCTGTACAGAGGTTTTCTAATTGCCAGCAGGAATATTTATCTTCTTTTCTGAGGCATAATTTACAACTGGCCGTTATGTATCCGGTGATTCATGGGTGCCAACCAGATATCGTTATCAGGAATTGGATTGCTAGTTCATCGTTTCGTCCGGCGGAGCCGTTCTAGCATCCAAGGCTTGCCATCAGCCTGATAATATATGACATTTGGTCGAAAAGGGTGTAAAAGGGAGCAGAGAATATGCAACAACTAATGCACACTGCGTCGTTGCGATACTTGCGAACTCGAATGCCTAACATCCGCTCAATCGACCACACAAGATGGCTGTCGTGCGAACAACATCAAGTCATGCATAATGATACATTATAATTTAGATGGTTAATTAATAAAATATTATTTTTGCTTTTCTTTCCGTCAACACTAAGCTTCTCATCGGTTTTGTTGTTAGGCAGTGATCTGAATTAGTGATTTGCACTACATTTAATTAGCTTTCGG